TTACTACATAAAACGATCAAAATATCAAATGTCACAATGATTTCTCCCCATTTTATACATCAGCCTAATGTTTATGCTCCAGCTTTTTAAATATCCGATAATATTGCAGACTTGTCATGTCATAACCACAACCAATAACTAATTTTCACCAGCAGAGGTCAGTGTCACCTCAGTTCTGAGCATCATCAGATAGATATTTAATCATGCATTGCATATCCTCTTCTTTGCCAAGCAATAGCTTGGGAATATTTTATGAGCGTTGTGCTGCATTTCTCTAATACTTCAGGATTTTCTCTTCTAACTGATTCTCTATTTTTCCTCGCTTCCTCTGTTAGATTAATATTGCTATGCACCTTAACTGAAACCAAATGTGATCAGCAGCGATCACAAGACGATTGATAAATAATTCTTCATTTACAGTACTCTTGCCATAGCCTCAGAAACTACTGGGTCTGTGATACTGGATATCAAGATTAAAACAGTTAAAAATGTAGGCAGACAATTCCACTGCAATCCCAGACACCTCATTCAATCTCAGTTGTGTTTGGGGGTAAAATATAATTTATTAGGCATTTAAAATATTTAAAACACAGAAAGCCCCAAAGGTAGTCATGATATATGTAATCATTGCTCAGATAACAAAAGTTATGAAATTATTATTGGTACAAGCACATTCTTTGTCAGTAAAAAAGACAAAGTTGTTGATAAAATAAGTAGCCTAACAAGATTAATTGATAAGTTCATGGACACAAAGTTTTGGAGACAAATTTCTCTCTTGATTTACAAACAAAGAACAAGTTAAAATGAAATATCAGACAACTGTCTCACTTAAATGTGTTAAGGCCCTGATATATTTTGATATGTGAAACTGATGAACAAACAAATTATGTCATTCTGAAATCTGGACAAAAAGTTTGTTTGGAGTTTATTTCGGTTGTTCCAAAAGTTTGCAATGGCTGTTAAACCCCTTCAAACTGCCATCCCTGTTTAAAAAAAAAACAGCATATGCTGGTTAGGTAGGTTTTGAAGCTTAGATGCTGGTTTGAGCTGGTCCCTCCAGCTCAGGACCAGCTTATGACCAGCTCATGACCAGCTTAAACCAGCATCCAAGCTTCAAAACCTACCTAACCAGCATATGCTGTTTTTTTCACCAGGGATTGGTCCATGCCGGTTACATACGTTTTGCGTAACAGATTCACATTTTTTGACATTGAAATCTTTTTCAGGATCATTTCTTCAATCTGTCAAGGTCAGCTATGAGTAAAAACAAGACCACCCTGCTGCTTTATATTGAAGTTGTACTTGCGGCATTCTGAAAAGTTGAGATGTTTTCATCTCGCTGTAGCGCAGACGCGCACGGAAAAAAATGAGCGCGTGGCACCGCGTGCGTATCGCTCTCTATTTGTGGTGCTTGCCACACGTCTACATTTGAGCTGTCTGAACTGGAGCACGCAAAAGAGGTGTAATATGTTAACGGCGCCTTCCACAGACAGCTGCGCGCTCGCGGAATTGGAAAAAATAACGGTCATTCCGTTTTACTGACTGACTCGTTCGTTTATCGATCTCTTTATTGAATTATTACTTAAAATTATTACAGCTATGAGAGTAAATATGATCTCGGAGGGATTTGGCATGCCTAACTGAAGAGAAAGTGATGTTAAGCTAGAAGTTTTTGTTTACGGATCAAAATAATTTAATGTCCCGCTGTACAAACTCAGTACTCAGCCAAAATGGGTGACCTCAACTCAACTCAACTTTATTTCTAAAGCACTTTCAAAAACCACACCGGGCCCCAAAGTGCTGTATACATGAAAAAAAAAGAAGAAGAAAAACATCAAACCCAAATACATACAATTATACAACACATTATGAAAAGCTAAAGAAAATAAATGCGTTTTTAACATCCTCTGAAATGACCCTAGAGTAGATGTTTTTAAGGACAGTGGAAGCTCATTTACATATTGGCTTTATTTTTGTTAAATAAATGATACGGGTTGATATGTCATGTGTTGTTGTTTATCTGAGGTTTTATTTTCTAAAAGTTTATAATGATTTTTTCCCAATTTTAAGATGATTTTATATATTTTCATTCTTTGATCTTCAGTATGGACATATGGACAAAGCAATATAGAAAAATATTATACATAACCACAATAAAAATAATCCACATTTTTTTTTAAATTAGGAAATAAATAAAAAAATCTGAAATGATTTGTAAAACAAATAACACGTCACTTTAACTAAACTTCACTTACCTAGTCTTACCAGTTTTTGTCCACTGTTTTTATCTTTTTTTTTTTTTTAATGAAACACGGTTTATCACAAAATATAATGAAATGCTGATTTATATCAATGGTGTGGTTTGTTTCATTCTGATGACAAATAAAAATGAGCTTAAAGGGGTCATATGATGCGATTTCAATTTTTCCTTTCTCTTTGCAGTGTTACAAGCTCTTGGTGCATAAAGAAGATCTGTAAAGTTGCAAAGAATAAAGTCTCAAATCCAAAGAGATATTCTTTATAAAAGTTAAGAGTCAGCCACACCTACCTAAAACGGTTCGTTCTAACACGCCCCAACATATCTACATCACAATGTGGGAAGATTTGCATAACGCCGCCCAAACGTTCACACAAAGAAAGAAGGCGTAACTTGTATTGTCGCTGTTGCCGCCGCCATGTCGTGGAGATACTGTGTGTTTCGTTGTGAAAGCGAAACTACTTTGTTTGGCCTTCCAAAAGAGGACACAACTAGAAATCAGTGGTTAAGTTGTATTTACAACACTGTTCCAGAACAGTTCAACCCAAACATTCAGATGTGTGCAGTGCATTTTGCGGAGGACGAGGACTGTTTCCTGTGAGAGTAGCCTACAATGCTTTGCAGACAATGCAATGTCTGCTTCTATAAAGTGGGGTAGTTCCAACTTTGCAAGGACAGTCTGGTGCTTCTGACTCACACTCTGTAAGTACGTTTACATATTTAAATAATTTGCCACTGATGATTCAAACACGAGTTTTAAGCAGTGTAGAGTAGTGCTTGTTGTTTGTCGTTTCTCCGATCACAAATGCAGACATGGTTTTATGTTTACGCAGCGCGATACGCAACGCAA